GTATTTTTATTAGGTGTTGTAGGACCTTTATTCAATAATTCTAAAGATGATTGTGACGCCTTTTGATACAGTGGTAATTTATTTTGCGTTGGTTGAGGAATTTCACTGATACCTTTTATTAAACCACCTTGTTGTGGATCATTTCCTACTTGCGTATTGTCCATTAGTAATTGTGGCGGTGTATCATTCAATTCTAATTGTGAATTATCTTTTTTCAAAAGATTATCATTAATTTCAGGATTTAAAATTTTTTTCAAATCTGTTTGTAAACTATCTATCAAATGTTTTTCGCTTTGTGCAACATTGCTAGTAAATGGCTTTGATGTGTCATCTGGAAATTCTGATAAGGAATTTAAAGGCACATTGTCATTTTGATTCTGCATAAAATGTATATTAAGTGATGGAGGTTCTTTGTTCAATAACTCCGAAGACGAATGTGATGGTATTTGAGATAGYGGTAATTGATTTGAGACAARAGGAGCTGAATGTGAAGATTGTGGTAAATTCAATTCATTTTGTGTTTGCGGAAGAGACAAACCGTTTRGATATTGTAATTGAGAATCAAACGGCTTAGAATCTTCAATAACCAAAGTATTTTTATTAGGTGTTGTAGGACCTTTATTCAATAATTCTAAAGATGATTGTGACGCCATTTGAGACGGTGGTAATTTATTTTGTGTTGTTTGAGAAAATTTATTGTCCTGTAATTCTTGTTTAGGATTAATCAATACTCCATTTTTAATCTTCTTAGTATTTTCGTTAGTTGTTGAAGATACTCTTTTCAATGGTTTTAAAGAACCTTGTGGTTGAACTTGAGATAGTTGTGATTGATTTTCGGATGGAAGAGGTGATTTGGATTGGACAAAATAAGTACCAGGAAGTTCTGATTTAGAATTAAATTCTGTTTTTTGTGAAAACTGCGGGATTATTTTCGTAGAGATTTGTTCAGGTTTATTTTCATTGTTTTTAGTGTAAGTCTTACCTTCGCCAGAATCTAGCAATTCTCTAGCATCTTG